TTTCTTCATATATGTTCAGAAAAGACTTCAAGTTTTTACTGTGTCAAATTTCTCTAGTTTGGATGTCTCTCCTGAAGGATGTGTGCTAAGAGCCCAGTCCTCAGGCTGTGGTGCCCTTGGGAGGTGATGGGACCTAGTGAAAGGAAGTCATATTGAAGGTGTGCCCTTGAAGAGGTTAGGGGCACTGTCTGATTTCTCCCTCTGTGTTTTACTTTCTGGATGCCATGAGAGCAGATCTCCCATGTGCTCACACCCCGGGGCACTTGTGCTGCCCTAGACCCAGAGCAATAGGGAAAAGCAACCATGAGTTTCTGAACCCAAGAGTCACGAAAACCTTTCTTCTTTATAAGTTGATCCTGCTAGGTATTTTATAACAGCAATGGGAAGCTAACATGCACATCCATAACATATGATATCCTAAGAACTTTATTAGGATCAGCTGGACAGTAATGATGACAACAACCACGTACAAGCAAGGTAACGCGTTACTAGTTTTTCCAACACGCAGGCAAATTAATATCGAGGTTAAGGGTCACATGGCCAGGAAACGGTAGAGCTGAGACTCTAGCCACACTGTTTGGAAGTGAGGCCTGCATCTCCGAGCAGCATTTCACTCAGGCACGCAACCCTCCTCCACTCCTGAGCATCACCTTACACACACAACCGGTTTCCCATGCTGGTTTTAGCTGTACAGACCTGAGGAAGGGGAGGAGCGCCACCTTATGGCGAGAGACGGAATCTCAGCGCCGCCACTCAGTTTCCCTGACATACTCAGCCTTGGAACTAGTAGCTTGAGGTATGAGCTTGAGCTTGGAACTCAGTTGGCAAGCACTTGCTCAGCATGCATGGAACCCTGACTTTGACGACCAGTGCCCCAATTACTAGGGTTTATGGTGCTTGCTTGTTATCCCAGCACTTGGAAATTGGAGGAAGATGAGTTCACAGTCACTCTCAACTTCATAGAGTTCCAGGCCAGCCGAACCACCCAACAAACAACAGGCAGGCGAGGAGGGATAAGGGTAAATTAGACATACATTTTATTCCCAACGTTCAAAATTTAACTTGAAAGTCTTTATTTTTGTTATTCATGTGTATGTGTCTGTGTGCATTTGGATTTTCTGGAGTTGGAGTTACAAACGGTGGTGACCTGCTGGACATGGGTGCTGGGGACCAGCTCAGGCCCTCTGCAAGAGTAAGCACACTTAACCCCTGAGTCATCTTGACAGCCCCTGGAATTTTTTAAAGTTCAGGCATAAGCAAATGCGGTGGTCCCAGCATTTGGAAGGCCCTCTAAATTCACATCTCTACACCCCTAAAGTAGTACATACAGCTCTTGGGTCTCATCCAAGAAGTTTTTCTTCTTAAAATAGGATTTTATTTTAATTACAAGTGTGCACGTAAACTCAGAGGCCCTTGAAGGCCAGAGGTCATTGGATCCCCTGGAGCTAGGGTTACAAGCTCCAGGGGACTGTGAGCAGTCCCATGTTTGTGCTATAAACTGAGCTCAGGTTCTCTGGAGGAGAGAGAGGTCTAACTGCTGCCCCTCCACCTACAAAGTTCCTTTGTGCAGTGGACGAGGTTAACTCTTAGGGTCTCTGTTGCTGTGATGAAGCACCATGATCAAGAGCAGATTGGGGGAGGAAAGGGTTTGTTTGGCTTACACTTCCACATCATAGTTCATCCTTGGGAGACGTCAGGACATGAACTCAGGCAGGGCTTAAGCCTGGAGGCAGGAGCTGATGCAGAGGCCAGGGAGGGGTGCTGCTTACTGGCTTGCTCCTCATGCCTTGATCACCCTGCTTTCTTATAGAACCCAGGACCATCAGCCCAGAGATGGCCCCAACCACCATGGGCTTGTCCCTCCCATTAATAAATTATTATTAATTAAGTAAATGCCCCACAGGCTTGCCTACAGCTTAATCACTTGAAGGCATTTTCTTAATCAAGGTTTCCTCTCAGAGGACTACAGCTTGTGTCAAGTGGATATAAAGCTAGCCAGCACATTAACACAGAATGCTCAAAACTGGTCAAAGTGTGGAGAATATGCATCTGTGGCATGTTCAGTCACAAATGGGCCATCTGTATCACGTTCCTGTTAGGGTCCTAGAGAAGTCCTACAAAAGACCACCATCCACATATGCAATCAACAAGAGTGTTTATTATACCACATGCGTGTGGGGTCACTCACTTGTACAAAATGGCAACAACCTTGAGAGGGATGTGTAAGTTCATTTTTAAAAATTTTTTTTAAAAGATCCTTATTTACAGATAATTCACATAGTATACAATTTTTCTGTTTGCACAATTTGATAGACTTTAGTCTAGCAACCTCATAGGCCCATGACACCATCACCACTTCCTGTTTTAGAACATTGCTGTCTTCAATTTCTTCCCCTCCCTTTTTTTGACTTAACTGAGTCATTTGGAGCCTGTCATGATATTTGCCTGACCTTCTTCTCAGTTCCTACCCTCAAGGCTCAGGGACCGTTGTTGGGGAGGGGGTGGAAAGATCCTCAGAGCCTGAGGTCAGAGAGGACAAGAGAGAAACTGTCTTCTGGACACGGTAGGACCACTGCAGTCAGGATCTTCCAGCGGCTGTGGCTGCCTGCACAAGATTGAGCTGGTGGACACTGAAGCACCGAGCAGGGAGGGACTCAGAAGGCCCCCAACAACCTTTAGCTGAGGAGGGACGGCTTCTAGGGGAAGGAATCTGTGTGTGTGTGTGTGTGTGTGTGTGTGTGTGTTTTCCCCGAGACAGGGTTTCTCCGTGTAACAGAGTCCTGGCTGTCCTAGAACTTGCTTTGGAGACCAGGCTGGCCTGAAACTCACAGAGATCCTCCTGCCTCTGCCTCCTGAGTGCTAGGGTTAAAGGCGTGCGCCACCACCGCCTGGCTGGAATCAGTGTTCTTAAAGGGTGTGGCCCCTGGTAGACTCCAGAGGTTGGCCCCACATACATGAGTATGGGGCAGGAAAAAAATGGAAGCATTTCATTATCCAAATACCAACAAACCAGGACATGAAGTTGGAAAGGGGCAGGGATGTGGCGGTATTTTACTTGTACTGAAATGTGATTTTAATTGTATGTTAATAAATAAAGTTGTCTGGGGGTCAGAGCTATTAGAGCCATAGCAAGTGCGTGGCGGCGGTGGCGCACACCTTTAAGGACCTGGAGGGCGGTACATACAGGCAGTGACGAGGCAGTCACATGTTTGGGTTTACAACCAATGAGAAGGCAGAACAGAAAGACTATAAAGACATACACACAGGAAGTAGGTCCCCTTTCGGAGAGCTCTCTTGGCTGAAGAGGATCCCTGAATCAGGAAGGGTGAGGCTCTTAGCTCTGACCTCTTGACTTTCTTCTTTGAATCGGCTCTGTGTTTCTTATTTAATAAGACCATTGGTTACATCTACACAGGGAGGTGGGAATGAATCTGGAAGGAGTTAGGGAGAGAAGCTGGGCAAGTGAATATATGCATGTATGAAATTCTCCAGGAATTAATAAAAATATTATACTAAAAAAATCTAACTCAGGAGGCAGAGGCAGGTGGATCTCTGTGAAATTGAGGCCATCTTGGTTTACACAGTGAGTTCTAGGCCAGTCAGGGATACACAGTGAGACTGTCTCAAAAAACAAAACAAAAGAGTAGAATAGTAAAGCAAAAATTAAAAATCCTCTATATAACATCTATGTCTCAGGACCACATTTATCCATCCCCATGGCCCGCAGAATACTCTGTGAGTCAGGGCCAAGGGAAGGATGCAGAGTGGGCATCAGGAGATGGGCTTGTTAGAGTCGGAGAATGGGAGAGTCTTATTTTTCTCTTCATGTCCCATGGCCATAGCTGACAGACAATCTTAAAGTAGCTGGCTTTGGCTTTAAGACTGAGCTGGGGCCATGATGTGGCGCACGCCTTTAATGCCAGCACTTGGGAGGCAGAGGTAGGTGGATCTCTGGGTTCAAGGCCAGCCTGGTCTACAGAGTGAGTTCCAGGGCAGCCAGGGCTACACAGAGAAACCCTGTCTCAAAAAACAAAAGATTGTGTTGGGAATCCTACAGAGAAATGAACATGTTAGAGTAAAAGAAATATCAGACTCTTAGTCAAATACCTATGTTTATGTCCTGGCTCTTCCCAAAGCCATTTCTTGATCCCCCCCCCCCCCCCCGTCTCTCTCTCTCTATAAAATATATATAATATAAATATATTATATAAAATGTACATGTATATATTATATATGTATATATGTGCATATATATTATACACATATATGTTATATACACACTTTTTTTTGATATATGGTCTCACTATGTAGTCTTGGTTGGCCTTGAACTCACTCTGTAGACCAGGCTGGCCGGGAACTCACTGCATAGACCAGGCTGTCCTGGGTCTCCCAGAGATCCACCAGGCCCTGCCTCTGGGGTGCTGAGATTAAAGTTGTGCACTGCTCACCCAGCTGTTTCCTGAGACAGAGTCTTGCTATGTCGAGCAGGTTGGCCTGATACTCCCTGAGTATTGGGATTCTAGCCATGTACCACTTTGCCTGGCTTTGCCTAAAGTTATGTGAATGTGAGAAATACAAATTTATCCAAACTGTTTCCTTATCTGGAAAATGCATGTTAGAAACAACACGTTAGTAGTCCCTCTTCAGCACCAAAACCCCATCGCACGGCTTGAAGCATACACAAATCACAAATTTGGGTAGGTGAAAAGGCCCAGTGAATAAAAGTGCTTGCCACCAAGCCCAGGGACCTCAGTTCAATCCCTGGGACCCACATGTGGAAGGAGAGAACTCACTTCTGAAAGGTGTCCTTGGACTCCCATCCCCCACGCCCCCTCACCACATACATGATCTCACAACCAAGTGCTAACTTTATTATTTGTATCCAACATACATTCATGCTATTTCTCTGCTCCTCAACCCCACCCCCACCCCCCACTCTTCAAATTGGTGGTCAGCAGACAGAAGGCTCCCTCCTTCCTACTCAGGCCGGCACAGTGCTCTCAGGCAAAGTGGTTGAGGGGCAGCAGCAATGCCGGCGACAGTAGCTCCAGCAGCCACAGTGAGCTGAGCATCCAGGAGGCCTTACTTTCTGCCTTTCGGGGCTGAAGAAATGAGTGGTAACTGCAGGTCTCCTTCACCGTCATGGGTCCCACCGAGGTCATTGTAGCCATCAGTCTGCAGCCGATCATTGTGGTGCAGCCTTTGACGTGCACGACGGAGTCCATACCTCCTATGAGCCAGAGGGGGTGGGGCGACAGAGACAGACGATTTAGGGCATGGGGAGCCCAGCCTTCCCTCACCTCTGGAACCCCAAGTGCGAGAACCTTGAGGGGCCTTTACCTCCAGAGAGTTCAAGTGTTCCTTGATAGCACTGAGTTGTACTGTTGGGACAGGGCAGAGAGGGGGCATTGGCACAGGGCCCCAGGGCCACACATGTTGGGCAGCGGAGGGCTCCTGACATGCGAGAAGTTGCTGGACGGGGATAAAGAGAGGCGAGTTAAGGCTGTATCCAGCACCTGGGGAAGCCTGTCCCCGCTGCCTTCCCTCCTCCACCTGTGTGCGGGGGAGGCCGCACTAACCACGCCCATTGCTGAGTCCCACCCGCCCTTCCCCAGTTGATTTTCTCTTCCTCAGGAAAAGGCGCTTATCTCGCAAGCCTGGAGGCCCGGGTTCAATCCTTGGCACCCATACAAAGGTGGCAGGAGAGAGCCGACTTTCCAAGCTGTCTGCTGACGTCCACACGGGGTGGGTGAGCGAACTCACACACACTAAAGAAGACCGCAGCGACCACATGACTCCCACACTCTGCTGACACATGCGACAGAGCTGAAAGGGTAGTTCTAGCAGAAAGATTTGTGGGTGATCAGCGGCGTCACAACCCAGTACCGCACGCACGCACGCACGCACGCAAGGTATAGTCAGAGACGCGGAGGGCCGCCCTGCTGCCTAAGATGCTTCCGTAAACATGTTCTAGGAGCTGGAATCTGAGTTGAGAAGGAGGCTGTGTGAGAACACGGGCTTGAGACAGAGGTGGGACAGGGTTGCTGTTCAGGTGGTGGGCACAGAAAGTATGCTACTGGCTTTTTTTCTTTTTAATGACCTATACCATCTACATTAAGAAAAAGTTACTTTTTAAGTGTATGTACCGGCGCATGAGTGTGGAGGCCAGAGGCCAGCTTCAGGTATCATCCTCAGAAACGCTGTCCACCCTCTCTGAGCCAGGGCCTCTCACTGCCCTGGTGCCCACCAATTAGGCCAGCCTGGTTGGCCAGCAAAGCCAGAGGATCCTCCTCCTGTCTCCCTCCACCTCTGAGAGCTGGCTCATGCTGCTATGCTTGACATTTTTATGTGTGTTCTGGGAAACTGAACACAGGCCCCCAGGCTTGCGGGGCAAGTACTTCACCTATTGACCCATCTATAGTGTTAAAAAGTGTGACTGTGAGTCTAAGATACTACTCAAGGCACAAGAGGGGAGAGAGGCACTTGTAGGTGAGAAGACACAATGCCTGGAAGACACAAGGTCTGGATGCCAAACTAGGGGACTGGACTGCGTCACCTAGCAGCGACGAACCCACGAACTGTTAAAATGAATGCCACTACCCGCCACCACCCCAGAAACTTACGGAGACCTCTTACTGCTCAACGAACACATTCCCAGTCGATCCTGACTTTACTGATGTCCCTCTGCCCCGAGGAGGGCTTGGACTGCAAAGGACTTCCAACTCAGGAAAGGACCATGCCGACTGGGGGATTCTTTCGAATTTGGCCCACTGAGGCCTATGCTAAGCAGACACACAGAAAAGACAGACGTGCTCATCTCCCCGGTACCCAGGTACCTATGGTCTCTGGCGGTTTCCAGAACGGGGAAATGCTGTCTCTGTTGTTGCAGAGGGTATAATTGCAGTAGTTACTGTAGGAGGCAGCAATCAGGCCAGCAGGGGGGGTGTACTGAATGAAAGTCATCGACTCGATCTCTTGATCAGCGCAACCTTTACTGGCCAAAACGGCAGTCTTGGTTCCTTCTGCAAGACAGGGAGTAGAGAAAGTGGATGGGGGGGGGGGGGGGGGCGGCGGCTGATGCTTGGCAGGGAGAGAGCAAATAACATGGCCACCCTTTCCCTCAAGCCCAAGGGATCATCCCCCCGTCTCTGCCTCCCCAGTGCTGGGATTACAAATTCATGCCACCAGGCCTGGCATTTTTATGTGGGTCCTGGGGCTTCAACTGAGATCCTTACGTATTCGAGACAAGCACCGCAGTGAGTCAGCTATACGGCCAGAGGGTTGCAATATTAGTGATGAGAAAGAAATGAAGCTGAGAAGATGGGCGAGGTCAGGTGGCTTTAGGCCTGGAGACCAAACTGGACAACTGGACTGCTGCCGTCCAGCAAATGAGGAACCGGTCACCGAGACCCACCGCTCCGTCCCCATTTTACCTGCTTTAATCAACAGTACAGTTTCCTGGCAAAGTTCGTTCGGGTCGCACCTCTCAGCCTTCGACGTCCAGTTAAAGGTCCGGCCTGGATCGTCTTCTAAATGCAGGTTTCTACCCACCTCACAGTGTAGATTTTGGGCCACTGGGAAGATGAGATAAAAGCCATCAACTGCCCTTCTCTGTGGGGTGGCCTCTTCTCACCAGAAACCCACCCTCTGTGGGACAGCTGTTTCCCCTATGTCCCCCAACATACAAGTCCAGTGAGAGGCTCCCAGCAGGAAGAGGAACAGGAAACACTGGATGCAGCAGGCTGCCATGGCTTCTCTGAGGCTGGGAAGAGCTAATCAGGACCTGGGAACTGATGGAGGACAGGACACAGTTCAGCCAGCCAGCCAGGGATTAAATCTCAGTTTTCTCTAAGTGTCCACTTCGTGGTAGATTGATGGTATGCAAGACCATGAAGTCTGTCCTGAAGGGTCTTGTGAGTTAATGGCAAGGTCACAGGTTTATTGTGCCTAAGTTTTCACAGTTCTAAGACCCAGCCATCTATAGTTAACAAGATTTTGGCAACTCTCTTTCTTTAGTGTCCAGATACAGGAGAACGGGCCCGGGAGCCCTCTGCCTTAAACCTCAGAGATTCAGATCCACAGCAGAAATCTCTCAAGGCCTCAATGTCTCAGCTTTTAGGACCCAGCTCCACCAGAACTCGAATTCTGAGAGCCCTGTCCCATTCATCCCAGGATTCAGGGGTTTAAGTTCCAGCTACCTTCCCCCACAAAGGACCCACGATTCTGGGCAGTCAGCAGTCAAGGTGAATTCCACTCCTCGATATAGAAGTAGAGACTCCAGGCTCCTCCTTCAGACCAAAAGTCCAGAACTGGGCTCTCTGAAAGACCCAGTGGAAGAGGATCCAGCTCTCCTTCCTCAGGCACAGGGGACCCACTCCAGCCTCCCTTCCCTCAGAATAAGGGCTGAGGGCCAGTCCTCCTTCCTCAAACTCAGCCCTTCACCTTCAGACTCAGGGCTCCAGACCCCAAGCTCTCCTACTTCAGACTCAGTAGCCAGACCCTAGCCTTCTCCTCCTTCAGACCCAGGAGTCCAGGCTCCCAGCCCTCCTCCCTCAGACCCAGAAGCCAGACCAGACCCTAGCCTCCTCCCTCAGACCCAGAAGCCAGACCAGACCCTAGCCTCCTCCCTCAGACCCAGAAGCCAGACCAGACCCTAGCCTCCTCCCTCAGACACAGCAGCTAGACTGTAGTCTCCTTCAGATCCAGAAGTCCAGGATCCCAGCCCTCCTCCCTCAGACCCGGGGGTCCAGACACCAGCCCTCCTCCCTCAGACCAGGGGTCCAGGCTCAGCCCTACTCCCTCAGACCAGGGGTCCAGGCCCAGCCCTCCTCCCTCAGACCCAGGATCCAGGCCCAGCCCTCCTCCCTCAGACCCAGGGGTCCAGGCCCAGCCCTCCTCCCTCAGACCCAGGGGTCCAGGCCCAGCCCTCCTCCCTCAGACCCAGGGATCCAGACCCAGCCCTCCTCCCTCAGACCCGGGGGTCCGGGCTCCCAGCCCTCCTCCCTCAGACCCAGAGGTCCAGACCCAGCCCTCCTCCCTCAGACCCGGGGGTCCAGGCCCCAGCCCTCCTCCCTCAGACCCAGGGGTCCAGGCCCAGCTCTCCTCCCTCAGACCCAGGGGTCCAGGCCCAGCCCTCCTCCCTCAGACCCAGGGGTCCAGGCCCAGCCCTCCTCCCTCAGACCCGGGATCCAGGCCCAGCCCTCCTCCCTCAGACCCAGAGGTCCAGACCCAGCCCTCCTCCCTCAGACCCGGGGGTCCAGGCCCCAGCTCTCCTCCCTCAGACCCAGAGGTCCAGACCCAGCCCTCCTCCCTCAGACCCGGGGGTCCAGGCCCCAGCCCTCCTCCCTCAGACCCGGGGGTCCAGACCCCAGCCCTCCTCCCTCAGACCCAGGGGTCCAGGCCCAGCCCTCCTCCCTCAGACCCAGGGGTTCAGGCCCAGCCCTCCTCCCTCAGACCCGGGGGTCCAGGCCCAGCCCTCCTCCCTCAGACCCAGGGGTTCAGGGCAGCCCTCCTCCCTCAGACCCAGGGATCCAGGCCCAGCCCTCCTCCCTCAGACCCAGGGATCCAGGCCCAGCCCTCCTCCCTCAGACCCAGGGATCCAGACCAGCCCTCCTCCCTCAGACCCAGGGATCCAGGCCCAGCCCTCCTCCCTCAGACCCAGGGGTCCAGGCCCATCCCTCCTCCCTCAGACCCAGGGATCCAGGCCCAGCCCTCCTCCCTCAGACCCAGGGGTCCAGACCCCAGCCCTCCTCCCTCAGACCCAGGGGTCCAGATCCCAGCCCTCCTCCCTCAGACCCGGGGGTCCAGGCCCAGCCCTCCTCCCTCAGACCCAGGGATCCAGATCCAGCCCTCCTCCCTCAGACCCAGGGATCCAGGCCCATCCCTCCTCCCTCAGACCCGGGGGTCCAGGCCCATCCCTCCTCCCTCAGACCCAGGATCCAGGCCCATCCCTCCTCCCTCAGACCCGGGGGTCCAGGCCCAGCCCTCCTCCCTCAGACCCGGGGGTCCGGGCTCCCAGCCCTCCTCCCTCAGACCCAGGGGTCCAGGCCCAGCCCTCCTCCCTCAGACCCAGGAGTCCAGGCCCAGCCCTCCTCCCTCAGACCCAGGGGTCCAGGCCCAGCCCTCCTCTTCAGACCCAGGGGTCCAGACCCAGCCCTCCTCTTCAGACCCGGGGTTCTTGCACTTTGATTTCTCCTTCAGGAGTTCCCCCCCACAGTCCCTCCTTCCTCCTGCCATCTAGCTTCTTTCCTCAGGCTTGGGGAATATGGATTCCCCACCCTTCTTTTTCTTCTTAAGACGACAGAGTTCTCTCAGGCTGCAGCGTGTCCTCCCTGCGCCCAGCTTCGATGGCGACCGGTACCGTACGCCTGCAGCGTCTCTGGTGTGGCTCCAGAAGGCACGGCAGGCGGGGCCAGCCTGGTCATGACACTCGAAGTCCCATTGGTCGAAGAGGATGAGCTCCACATGGTCTCATTGGATGAGCCTGGAGAATGGCTGCATCTCATTGGTCCCCCGAGAAGCCAATTACTGGCTGCTTTAGAAGGCACTCGTGCGCCCCCTGGCTGTTGCTGCCTGAGGTGTATGAAGAAGGGGTTTGCTCCAGGCCACATGGTTCCCTCACTTTGTGGGACTATGCCTCCCCTCCTCCAGCTGCACTAGACAGTAAACTTGGCCTTTGCCCACGGAACTAAATACTTACCAGAAGGGTCTCTCATATTCGTCGCCCTGCCCATGTCCTGAAACCCACCTAGTGGCCCTAGCTACCATGTGTCAACTTGATCTTCCTCCCTCTTCCTGCCCAGCTAATCTTAAAGGCGTTAACACCTAGACCCCAGGACTGGAAGAACTCCCAAACTAAAGAATTTCTGTTTAAAGATAAATGTTATTTCCTGCATCATAGATATGGATTAAATACCACAGCGCAGAAGTGAACAGTCACAGTGCTGACCACAGCCTGCCACTCGAATCCTCAGTACTCATTTTTTTTTTTTTTTTCAGAGAGGACCTCACTGTACAGTGCTAGCTCCCTTGGAACTTGCTACGTAGACCAGGCTGGCTTCAAAGTCACGCTATCTACCTGCCTCTCCCTCCTCAGTGCTGGCATCAAAGGTGTGTGCCACCACACTCAGCTGACATTTGTTTTTTGAACCTTGAGAAGAGTAAGCAAAAGAGCATCATCAACTATCAGTGACATGGTTCACCCTGACTCAGACCAGGGCTCCCAGGCACCTTCTCCACCCACTCTTCCCATCCTACAGGGTCAGAGCTGAGCCAGCCACCCAGGTGAGACAGGAGCAGAGTTAACTGGGAGCAGAGCTCTGGACTGCTGGTCCCCATTTGTGGGGAATTTTCGCCCCCAGTTTGGAGAAAAAAACATGTGAGCACAGTTGGAAGTCCTGGGTGTTCCGTCTAGATCACGGAGGTCATAAAAATGGAGGGAGGGCACAGGAAGGCTTGTGTTAGTCACAGAATGAAATCTTGACTTTAAGTATCCCTGATACAACTTGAGGCTTTCCAAGGCTGGGAGAACCTCCTGCTCACATTCCAAGCTCCATCCCTATCAGCCAGGAGAATCCAGAGAAGCAGGAGAAGATTAGACATAGGGATGGAACAGGAAGCTCTGGGAGAATTGAGTTTTGCTTGTTCCCATCGACATGGGCTGGAAATCAAATGTCACTTCCTGTCACTTCCCAGAAAGACAAAAGACTCCACTCCAATCCTGTGACTGATATTTCAGAGATCCACTTACTAAGGACTGTAATGTTCTTGACTGTGGTCCTATTGACTCCAGGGAAAAAGTTATAGATGAGGCAGGAATAGGATCCGCTATCTGTAGCTGGAGAGCTTCTCTCCAGGTCCCACCAAGCCCCCGCAGTCCCACAACCCACGTATAAAATAATCACTCAGATGCTTATATTACTTATAAACTGTATGGCCATGGCAGGCTTCTTGTTATCTACTTCTTTTATCTTAAATTAACCCATTTCTATTAATCTATAAGTTGCCACGTGGCTCGTGGCTTACTGGTACCTTACATCTCGCTTGTCACGGCGGCGGCTGGCAGCGTCTCTCTGACTCAGCCTTCCTGTTCCCAGAATTCTCTTCTCGGCTTGTCCTGCCTATACTTGGTGCCTGGCTACTGGCCAATCAGCATTTTATTTATACAGAGCGAGATCCACAGCAACTATCATTAGTTTTGATGTTGAGAATAAAAAGCTCTTGGGAGGATGACTGGAGCTCTCCATTGACAAACTGAAAGTACTATGCAGGTGGGTTAGCATCTGTGTGGCAGGAAAGGTTAACGTTTGTCCTTAAATGGAAATGAATATTTGAGGGGGATATGATAGGTGCACCTAGATCATCTGGAGCAAACAGAATAAAGTCACATGTGATGTCAGCCGAGGGAAGGGGAAATCCTGGTCTGTAGAAGGACATAGTATCTCTTTGAGCTGTGCTTTAACCTTAGTTGAGCAGGTCCTACCCAGAGCTGGGGTGCAGATTAGTAGGAGAGTACTCATACAGCATGCACAAGCCCTGGTCCATCTTGAGCACAACACACAAACATCCCCACTGCACACTCATTGTGTGCACTGAGACTGAGTCTGACATGTCCCCTGTCTCCATCACCCTGAGCCTCTCTAGTCAGAAGTCCCTCCAGCCCATTCAACCTCAATGCTGGGCCTGTCTACATGTGTTTGGGCTGGGACAGGATGCCCTGGCAGCCTAGGTATCTGTATGGTAGGTCTGTG